TCTTTCCCTCGCACCAAGCAAGGTGGAGGTGGAGGCTGGAAACAGCCCTCGAGCTGTCCTCTCTTCGCAGGTGTCTGTCTGTTGCTGCTGCTGCCAGAGCCCGCGGGCAGCGAGGGAGCCGGTGAGTTGCGGGTTCCCGGGTCCGGGAGCAGGGCTCTGTCCGGGCGGTGCGAGGGGCTGCGGGCCAGCGCGTAGGAACGCACTCAGATGGAGCCCCTGGGCCTTGGCCGGGGGCTGGAGCTATAAGGGTGCGAAGGTTGGAACTGCTGCCTGGCGCACCCCATTCATACCTACAGCCCATCTACTCCGGCTTACCCATTTCTCCCTCGGGAAGGGGCTCCTGGGGTCCGATGGGGACGTTCTTCACAAGGTGCGGAGAAGGAAGCCTCCCCCAATCCACACCCACAACCCCGGAGCTTCCTCTTCCCCCAGCAAGCTGAGCAGCGGCAGCAGAAGGTCAAGGCTGGGGATGTTCGTTGGGCCCCACTGAGGAGCGCCGTAGTCCCGGGTGTTCCTCGGAGTTTGGGGTCAGGGAGAGGCCTTCAGACTGTCAGAGAGACAGAGAGAGGCTTCGGCAGTGAAAGAGAGGCTTACGTCGTTGTCCCATCTTGTTTGACCCCCTCGCTTTGTTTCCAGGAATGACCCAAAAAAAAAAAAAAAAAAAAAAAAAAGGCAGCATTTACGGGCCCATTTCATATTCGAGAGAGTCTAAAAAGAGTGTGTTCCACACGTAGAAGTCCGAGTAAGGGTGTGTGGTTCGGTGTGTTTTATACAAGATAAAAATCAAACTCTTTTTCAAAATCGATCCTTTATTTTTCTTGAAAGGAGAAAGGAAGGTAAGTATTGCAGAGGGCTGTATTCAGTGCCCCCTCACACAAACACACACTAAAGTCAGTGTTGGCAGCTAAAGGCAGAGCCTCTGGTGCCTCGAAAATGGGAGGAAAATTAAGGCTGTTTGCTAACAGGTATGAAGCTCATAGGTATGAGGCTACTGTTCTTGGTAAGGATTTTAACTTGCCCAGCAATCTAGAGTGTTTCAGAGTTAAGGAATCAGCATTGTACCTTTCATGGCATCCTGCCTTCCTTTCCATGGAGGTGTACAGTCCAGGGCTGGGCACAGAGGGCTCTTAGAAGAGGGTCCTTGCTAGAGGCAGGCTTCTCAGTGGGGCAGTATGACCAGACAGCACTACTGTCTTGGAAAAAGAAAAAAAAAATTTTAATGATTAACATCTGTTTCAAAAACGTTTGGAAAACATCTGTTTCAAAAAGGTTTGGATAACCACAATTTCCAGTGTTTGGAAAATAGTATTTAATAACATTATCCTCAATTTAATAGTCACAGTAAATTGATGAATTAATATGTTGTATTAAGTTATCTTGTTACATGTTGCCAAGGGCTTGTCTCTAACATCTTTTGTAGTAAAAACTATGATTATTAGTCAGGTTGACCATGTAAAACTTGAGAGTATTAACAGTGCTTTCTAAAACTGCATTCACTGCCTGATATATCTCTCTGGACAGATCTGGAGCAGAAATAAGCAGGTTCAATTCAGATTAAAATGCTCCATTCTGAACGGACTAACTTCTCTGTTTCCTGTCCTGCAGGAGTTACAGAATTTTCCTTGGACTGTGTGACCTTGGGCAAAATAACCCCATGGCTTTAATTACTTCAGCTGAAAAATGAATGATTGAGCTAAATGACGTTCTGTAAAGTGAAGCACCTGGTTTGCTTAAATTAAAATATAATTTTAATGAGCTGCATTTGAAGAAAACTGATATAAATGGCCCTCAGAAGCAACGGATGACTTAGATTTGTGCATGTTTCTATAAAAATGTTCCTCAGAGGTTCAACCCAGATTTAATATCTTCACCTCAGGCAACTATGTACACAGTTGTAATCAGAGTTGAGGTTCTTATATTTCTAGAATGAATTTAATAAATGGTCAGTGACTAATGTTATTTTCTAATTCTGATATATTTCCAATTATGTATCTCCAAACTGATAAGAACTAAAATTCTCCCATTAGACTTTACAGTGTCTGAGAACTAGATTAAATTGGAAAACTGATTTTTGGCTTGCTAAAATCTGGAATGGTGTGGAACAGTACCTACATCAATATTCTTAACAAGAAGTGTAGAAATTAGGGAAGTAAAATTTCAATCTCATATTCTAGTTCCCCCCACCACCACTTCCCTAAATATCCTAAGAATGGTTTTTACTTCTCTCCTTTCTCTTCAGTTCCCATCGCTATCACATGCTTTACCAGAGGCCTGGACATCAGGAAAGAAAAGGCAGATGTGCTCTGTCCAGGGGGTTGCCCTCTGGAGGAATTCTCCGTGTTTGGGAACATAGTATATGCTTCTGTATCAAGCATATGTGGTGCCGCTATCCACAGGTAAGCTCCAACATGCCAAGGGGAGCGGAATGCAAGTGTGATTATTTCCCTTTCTCTTTAGCCATCTGGACACCCCCTCCCACCTTTTCTTTCTTTTGGTACCAATTTTGGCCATAGAAGATGGATACATTTTTAAGGTTTTCCTGGATATCCTGAGTCACCAACTACATAAGGGGAGCTTTCTGACTAAAGGCAAATTGCATTATTTCTGGATAGCTAGAGTCCTGTGATTCTAAAAACATTCCTAATCATGTACTATATTACTGAGTTTTTACTATATGACAGCCATTATTTTAACTTCCATGACGACTCTACAGCTGTACAAGGTAGGTACAATTTTACCCCATTTTACAGATGAGGAAACTGAATTCAGAGAGTTGTCAAGTATCTTGCCCAAGGCCACCACTGTTAGCAAGTGCCAGAGCTGGGACTGAAAGCCCAGGTCTGCTTCCAGAGCCCATATTCATCACCACTCTTCTGTCCTGTGAGAGAATGGCCAGTATGACACTTTTTAAAAAAAAAATGAAGTTCAAGGACATGTAGTTAAGGTATTTTAGAAAACTGTTTGGCACTCTTAACTCTGATCCTCTGAGCTGTAGGGAACAGGAAACTGCAAGTGTGTCCTTATTAACACTTAAGAAGTTTCACAGCACAAAACCATTTCCCTAGGTGGATTTTGTACCTGGGTAAGCAAGTTTTTAAAAGGTTGACAGC